AACCTTGTAAAGAACGAACGAAGATAAATACATTCAGAAAAGAAATCAGACGATTGCTGCAATGAAATATTGAATAATAATAATAAGGCAAAAAAAGTAACATTCATTTTGTCAGATAAGAGTGTCTCATAGAATGCTTTGACTCTGAGGTTCAGTATGGAGTCATCAGTTAACTTCGTATTTTTTCCAAAATCTCAAAAAATAGACAACTAATATTTATAAATAAAAATAAAAGATAATTTCAAAAAACAGATCATGCCAAATCTTATAGACAATAGAAAAAGAAGAAATACTTCAAAATCATTCTACTTCATCTGGATATACCTGATACTAAAATTGGAAGTGTGCCCCATGATTTTAAAAGGAATGGGGACTTTCCTTTTAAAGGAAGTCAGTGCCTAAGTCAACCTATGCATGTCCTAGGGCTTGATAATGGTAGTAAGTGTGAGCACTGACCTTGAGAGACAGAGAAGATGCATGGGACAATGAGGACAGGAGAAATGACTGACCAGGGATGGAGATATAATTGGTGCCCTTAGAAGGATGAAGCCCCCTAGTACACTCAGTGACCCCACCCTTGAACTCATTAGCAAGGCCCTGTTGGCAGCTGTATTCACAGCATAAACGTGACCTCACACTTACTGAGAACAAGACTCAGTCAACTCATTGAAGATGCAAGGCAGACTCGCCCCTTTGAACTTTGTTCCCACTATAGCCATTTAATTATTTTTTTGAGTTCTTAAAGTCCTCTGAGAAAAAACTGGCTTCAGAAGTTCCATATCTAACGCTCGCAATTTGAGTTACAATATTTTTATTAACTGCAGAAAGCTCATAGTACCTTAAATAAACTACATGAAGATGGTGTCAGCATTTTCAATATAAATTTCCATTGCCAAAGGTTTGTGCATTCTGAGGAAATTTGCTTGAGGGTGAAACTTGGCATATGTCTGAGCCCCTAACTGTGCATACCTTATTTCATAGATGCTTACAAATGAGTCCTTCACAGTCATTACATTTGGCATCTGGAATTTTTAGAAATAAAAAAATGGCCTTAATAACAGGTGGTTTCTAATATCAGGGCATACAATTCTCAGAAAATCAGAGAACTCAGGATTCCAAAACTCCTGTTTTATAGATTCTGGTATGATAATACTAGGTGTTGAAGGCAAAGGGGAAAAAATTTTAAGGGAATAGATGTTGGAAATATCCTCAGAAGAACAGAATTAGACCTCCTTTACCATTTTTCCTACCCCAAATGCCTGCTCTGCCCTATTCCTGCAACTGACCCATGGCCTGTGTTATAAAGGCTGGGCAAACATATGTGGGCTTTGTATATGGAGCCTGTTTCCAAATAATCACTGAAAAGGCAGCCAAGAATCTCCCTTTGTTTTTTGAATCTTCATTTGAAAGGACTGGATTAAATGCTTTATAATCCAGAAAATACCTAGAAGGGAGAGACAAAGCCTGAAAAACATTTCCCTCCGAGGCAGTGCTTTTTACCAAGCTGGGGAATCTAGCAAAACCCTGGTTTAGAGGTCTAAGGATCTAATCCAAGATAGCAGAAGGAAGATTTATTAGGCAGTTGTGACTCTCAGGAGCTACCTGGATGATGCACAAGGAGCCTGCACAGGGTGGACAGCTGGGAGGATGCAGGGCACATTGACAGGAGACTCCAGCCTCAGGGTGGAGAGCCCAGGAACCCAGTTAGACTTCTGAGACCAGCACCCACTCAGCACCAGCTTCAGAGAAGCTGGGCCCCTTGCCTAGGAGCATCCTGCCAGCCTTCTACTCCCATGGCTGCTTCTATGGCCATGGACTGAGCAGACAGGTGCTTTTTGTTACCTGTGTTTTTGTCGGAATCAGGATAGCCTGATGACTAAAAGCCGTCTTTGTAGTCAAGCAGGCCTAGATTGAAGTCTAAGCTCTTTATAGAATATGTCCTTGGACAAGTTGCCTGTGATTGCTCATTTCTTATAGTTCTTACTTTATAGGTTTGTAAAAATGAAGAGATGACACAAAGAAATCAGTGAAGCCCTGGTAGCTATAATAGGCAGCCAGACTTTTGATGTCCACTTGAAAGGCAAAGTGCCCCTGGTGTCCTGCCCTGCTGAGCGCTCCTTGGTTGAGGGGTAGGTGGTCCTGATACCGGCAGTAATTATCAGGCAGGCAGCCTAGGGCACACAGGGTCTAACACATCTCAGCTGCTACATCCCTTGGATCTCTGATTCCCATCACCAAAGACTGGATTGGTTCTGATGAAGATCCTCTTATTCCTGTTTGAGTCTGAAATATTTCAGAATTGCCCCAGTTCCAACATAAGGACATGTTAAATCTGAAAAGCAGTATATATTCAGGCTAAAATTAAGAAAGACATTTAAGTTTGATAGCAGGGTCTTTTTTTTTTTTTCAACTCTTACAGCAATGCCTCCCCATGGAAATAGCTGATCATTTCTCAGAAGGCAAGTTTGTAGCAAATCCCTTTAATTGAGAAGAAAATGAATAGATACAATAATGAATAATCTATAAGGCTGGTTGAGCATAAAGCTGACCAGGTAGAGGTTCTGAAATGAATGGAGCTAAAGCTTGGCCCTTATGACCGGGGAAAGAAAAACACTTCTCAAACAATGACGTCAGATTCAGGTAGCCTGTAGCCCCTGAACAGACTCTGACATCTCCTGGTATAGGGTAAGACATGGAGTAAGACAAGGTTGCTTGGGCCTTCTCACCCATGGTCCCACCGAAAGCCACCATATGTGTCTTAGCCATAACTGTGCACAGTGATGTCCTGATTATGTAACTGCTGTTTGGCACAACAGTGTGCCACTATTGTTCTCCTGGGTATAAAAATGTGTGGACTTTCCACTTGTGTGGACTTCCTATGCTAGTGTACCTGCTGTCATGAGCTCAATGAGGGCAGACTTCCCATGATGGCTCCCCTGCCAACACGAGCTGAATGAAAGCATGCCATAATTGAGGCACTACCCTCAGTGCCTAAATTCCTCTCCAGCATTCCGAATTGAATCATTTGCATTGTACATGGTATACAAGATGGCCAAATGGTACCCTTTTAAAGAAAAGGCTATCTACATCTTCCTACTAAGTATCCTTTTGGAGGCTGAAGCCTCTTTTTTAATACAGACTTCATCTTCCTAATACTTCCAAAACTGAAAAACAAACCTACTTATACCTATGCCTAGAAAAGTTGACTCTGTTCCCCACTACCTCTTTTTTTTTTAACCTAGTATTAAAGGAAATTCCCAGAATCCCACTACTTACTTAAAACAAAGAAGTTTTGAGGAGGAGGGTGGGAGATTGGCCAGCTTCTGTATTTTGGATGCTAATTGCTGAACATTAGTTGAGATTGTGTATGAAAGGTACTGAAGAATAAGATATTTACCTATAAGATATCCACTTCTATGTAATAAATAGGCTAAGCATTTTGTTATGATGCCATTTATTATTTCATTTATTTGGCTAGCTCACATTGTGGTTGGTGTCATTCTAAATTCTGGGGATTTGATGTTGAACATATTTTGATTCTCACAGCAATTGTAGAAGGAGCCTGAGACCCTAAGAGGTTAAAGTCCTTGCACAGGGTTTCAAATAATGTTATTTACAGAGGTCACACCACAAGTCCCTGTTACATAAGGCACCAAAGAAATGGTAGCTGTTGAGTCTTTGACACAAAGATTACATCATGATCCAACAAGGGTGTCCAACCTGTGACCTGTAGGCCATAAGCTGGTTATCTAGTGATTGTTTTGCTTATCTGTGGTGTCACATGCCATGAAAATAATGCATGGACCTTTTTTGGTCCATGAGCTTTCATTAGCGTTCGTGTATTTAATGTGTATCCCAAAACAACCCTTCTTCTTCCAATGTGTAGCCGAAAAAACAAAAGGCTGGACACCAAACATCATGCCTAGCACGGTGCTAAGCTGTTCTCTTACCCAGTGCCAGACTTCAGAGATACTTATAAGATGAAACTAAGGAAGTTCTGTTCTAAGAATATCATATAAACAGATGACTTTCTGGGTGACAACCAGGTCTTGGAAACTGTCTCCTTAGCTTGAATAAACCACATCACCAATTCAGATATTTAAAATGGGATCATCTTTTCAGATATTGTATTTTTGTCTGTATGTCACACTTTTTGAGGGTGAGATATAATTAACAGAATATGTCACAGATATGGTAAATAGTGGGATCCTTGGGACTGATAGGAAAGACAGTGGCTCGTAGGCTTCTCACTGAGGTTTCAAGTGGCAGTTGGGTCACATGAGCCCATAAGATAAGTGATCTTACAATGGGTAAGGTGCCCTTTGGGATGCCCCTCCTAGCATGTGAATTCCCCATCCCATAGTTAAGTTGAGAGGCCAGAGATTTAGTCAGCAGCTGAATGAATGATAATTCAAGAAGGAGATGCAGTTACCTTTGTTGGAACATCACTTCAATTTGTGATGTGTGCTTGTTACTCATTTCACTTAATAAATTTAACCAATTTAAGTCACATGATTCCAAGATTAAAATAAGAGTAATTAAAAATAATTTTGGTTTTGGGCGGCGCCTGTGGCTCAAAGGAATAGGGCGCTGGCCCCATATACCAGCGGTGGCAGGTTCAAACCCAGCCCTGGCCAAAAAGATAAACTGCCAAAATAATAATAATTTTGGTCTCCAGAGACTGCTCCTATTCTATTATAACTATGGAGAAACTATCTAGAATCTATGCACACATGACCACCCCTGCCCATAATGAGATGGCTTTCGTACTTCATATTATGTGAAGGAGATATTTTCATGTTCAATTAAATGACTGGTTCCTACACCTCCCTGGAAATTTGGAAATACCACAGATACTATTTCCAAATATCGGTCAGTTTTCTTTTTCTTAAATTCTCCCTTCTCAGTGTCCCCTTCCCCTCAGATTGTACCCAGATACCCAGGATTCTTTAATCCCTTTACGTGAGCCTTCTCTAAACCTCTCTAATTCTCTGTTTCAGAATCAAACTGCCAGATGAGAACACTGGACAGTGGAATCGGAACTTTCCCTCTCCCAGACTCGGGAAATCGCTCAACCGGACGTTACATATGCCAGCCAGAGTCCCCAGAGGACACTGAGTCCCTCCTGCCCCTCCAGCCAGCCCTTTCTGCAGCTTCTTCTATCAGAGCCCAAACCCTTGAACGTGAAGTGCCTTCCTCTACAGACAGCCGGCGCCCTCCAGACAGCGCCATTGTTCATTCCGCCTCTGACCCAGTCATGACCGCCAGAGGGATGCGACCTCTTCAAAGCCGCCTCCCCAAACCAGCCTCCTCAGGTAGAATGCCAATTGCCTTTTAAATTAGATTATTTTCCCACTCATAATAATGCACTTGCTGACAAAAACGGAAAACTTTCCACCGGGAGATGCAGACATAACCTCTCCCTGATAGAAATATGGATATGTGAAAATCCCCGCATGTTTTTTAACAAAAAGTAAAACAATGTGTATAAGACATTATCTATTCATAGTATTAATATTATGTTAAGGAATGCCCACACATCTAAGGAGACAAATGTGTAAGCACTAGGATGTGGATGTATGAATCACTTAAGAAAAACACATAAACGTACATTTGTGGGGTTTTACCTACAAAGCTTAACTGAATATAGACCAATTTAGACCCCAGGTATAACATTAGCTAAAATATTGTTTGCCCTCTAACCAGAAACATAGATCTTCTGACGTATTCCTGTCCTGTTCAAATATATTTATGTGTTGAACTATCAAAACTGAGCTTGATATATCAGCAGTAGAATGTGCATTAACTGCAGTAGAATGGAGTGAGCTTTCCCACTGGGAAGTACCATCCTTTGTTGACGTCAATTGAAACAAGCTTTCATGATTAAACACAGGGCCAGGCTAAGGGTCAAAGTTTTTTCATTGTTCCCTCAAGAGTAAAAATATTTATTGCAGCCCAGGATGACACTAAATAATTTTGAACTTGTGTGCCTTATGTTGCTTTCGCGAAATTCATAAGCATATGAACTAGAACTCTAAATGGAACACTTTCATTATGATTTGATGATTAGAAAGGAGCTGTAAGTGGAGATTATACAGTAGACTTCGGAGAAATTAGAAAAGGAATCTTTTAATTAAACATCTTTGAATAAATGTGATTGGGCTATTCCCATGGCTACGTTCTTCCCTCACACAGTAATACCAACTGTCACGAACATTTCATCACAAACTTCTCATTCAGAGCCAAGGCTACGTTTCTAAAGGCTGTAATGCATATTATTTTTGAAATAAATGCGTTGTTAATTAATGACATAGCCTCCAGACATTCAGGGGTGAAATCTTAGTTATAGATTATATGCTCCATGCCTGAATGGTCACATGTGTGACCTCAATTTAGTGGCAGGCTACCGTAGACTCCATGATTAAACACTGTCATTATAACAAATTGAATAGAAACCACAAGCCTTGAATTGCTTCATAAAGAAGGGATTGGAAGGAGATTGTTCTGATTGTGCTGCTAATATTCACTGCACTAGTTTTTTAAGGTTGTGTCTTAATTAAATTATGATGAAGAGTTATAGAAAGGTAGTGTATGGTAGATAGTAAGGTGAACATACTGCAAGAAATTCTGTCACTCAGCCTGAAGTTTCCTGTCCACCGAATGGTGTCTGTGGCCAGCTTTCCACAGATACCGCTTCTCTGTAGCCACTTATGATTCATATTAAATATTAGAGAATGGGGAACTCAGTGGAACAAAGGTAAAATGGAGTTATGCCTACTGTAGGGCAGCCACTTCCTGTTTAATGTGTACTTTTGAATTGGTTTTTTCCTATCCCCCTATCAAAAATGGAAGTAACTGTACAGAGCTCACAGTGCTGATGAGAACTTAATTACTTTGCTTCTCCTCACAAGCAAAATGCTGTGGAGAGGCTGTCACGGCGTGTCCTGTTGATAGTCTTTGAGGTTGGAGGATAATGACAGCAATTCTACTTTCTGACATGATGAAGACGTACACTCTGCAGGTTAATCTCCTATTACTGGTAATGGGCAAACTTTCTTTAACTGTTCTCTGCTAATTATACACTCGCTACTCAAAGTGTGGTCCATGGGCCGGCAGCTTTGGCATTACCTGGGAGTTCGTCAGAAATGCAGAGCTCACCCCACACCTACTGAATCAGCATCTAAAGTTTAGCAAAAGCTCAGCTAATACATATGCACATTAATGCTTGGCAATTACTGTGCTAGAAGATCTTTAAGGTCTTCCAAGCAAAGCTTCTGAACCCATATTATTCAAGATGACCTTAATAATATTCTAAGAGATTCGGGTCCCCTGTTCGAGTATGTTTGCAATTTCTGCAAATTTGAATGCTGTCTTTAGAGACTGTGGTAATGCCCATTCCCACACTGCAGGCTTTGAGAAGCCCTCCAAAAAAGAAACCTAGTTGTTAATAGATGAATAACATTATTGGAGGAATAACCGTAGTGTTTCCCAAATGGTTAGCTCACAGAACTGTTTTGAACCTGGAGAATCTTTCAACATTTATGGAAAAGAGGTCCAAGAACAGTTTGCCTTAGGGTCTTGAAGGTGAACATCCTCCCTAGGTAGGATAACCAGATGTTCGGGGTAGCAAAGACTTGCAGGAGACAGAATGGCAGGAAGACCAGCTTGTGCTGTTTGGACTTTTTCATTTTTGAATTTGTCCTGCACATCCCTCCCCAAACTTGTACAAGGTTGAGGAAAGCTGATTTGTGATTCCAACTACATTCCCTCATTTAGGAAAAATCAGTTCCCAAAAGCAGAACGAAGCAGAGCCAAGGCCTCAGACTTGCTCATCGTTTGAATATGCTGAAAACACCATGGCAAGTGAGCAGCTTCCAGCCTGGGGAAGTGAAGATGCCATCACTGAGACCCAGGTGAGGGGGAGGCCGGGGGAAAGATGCCGTCCACCTGTTGGGCCTCTTGTGATAGATTTAATTTTATATGAAATTTGCTGTTGATTTATTGAATACAAACCAAGGTCTAAGGCTTACCTTTTCCCTCAATTATTAAGGAACACCATGAATTCTTGGGACATCTTAAGAATTCAAAGTGCTTCTGATCTGCACCCAAATTTTTGGGAGTATGGATACTTCTTTTCATCAATATTGTGGAAGAAGCATTCACTCTCCCAGGCCATAAGGCACCATTTAGAATGATTTGGTTTTCCATTTATTTTGTTATCTTAGCAGTTACTTTAATCTTCACCTTGCTGCCATACAACAGGGAAAGTGGATATTGTTCTCTTGTTTTCAGGTATGAATAATCTGAGGCCTGCTGGGGTCAGATGACTTGCAAGGGTCAGGAAGACCTGAGTTTTGTCAGCCCCCATCGATTTTGCTGTGTGTTCTTCATCTACCCTGAGTTGGCACACCCGGGCCTCCTGATGTGTTCCTGGAGGAAGGAGCTCACAGCTTAGGGATTCTTTGTTTGTCCCTGGGGGTTACTTAGTGTCCTCTCCTATTTGCCTCTTCCAGCTCCCTGCTTTGACCATAGTCAGCCTGTTGGTTACGTCTCCACTCATGCTGGGGCTGGCCACTGCGAGGTGTTTGGTGGTGCCTGGCAAGGAGAGGGTAGAGAAAGGACATGGGGCTCAGTTCCCAGAGCTTCCCATCCCTTCCCTAACCCTTCCTTCTTCTGCTGCCTTTGGCTCTCCCAATTCCATTAAGAGCCCCCAGTGCCATTTGCACTAGAGCGTCTGTCCTTCTATGATGAAGAAATACCCACATTTGTTCACATCTAAAGTCCCCCACATTCAGTGTGGCCTAGCCTTCTTTTGGCCTTGGGCACCTCCATGTGGAAATGAGACTGTAGGTAGCTAAAGGAGAGACCCCTAGGCCCACAGCCTCCATGTGCAGCAGAGAACAGCCACCCTAGAGACCCAAGGGCTGTGTTCAGAGTCCAAGAGAAAGTTATTATGGAGCTGAGCCTGGAACTGGGACCTATGAACTAGCACCCAGCACTCAGAAAAGCTACCTGCACAGAGCACAGGTCTGAGAGGCCAAGGGGGAGCCCATTATCTTCTCTGAGGCCTCCTGTTAAACACAGAGCTATTAGGGCTCCTCCAAATCAGTGGGGCCCGGACTTGAGCAGATATCAGAGTCACCTGAGGGCCACACAGCCTGCTGTCCCCACATGGGCTCAGTGTCTGGTTTGGCATTTACAGAGTGAAATCTAAACAATTCTAAAAGATTCCCAGGTGTGTGCCCTTGGTCCACAGTACACCACCCCCCAAGCATTGTGCTACCACTTCTCCAGGGGACTCTGTACTTGCTTTGGGGACTTGAAAGTTGAGAAAATCATAGATGACACCAGATTTGGAAATGGGAAAACCCAATTCAGTTGGGTTGGTGATAGTGGCAAACGGGTTTGATTAATATCAAGAAAAGAAAAAAAAGTCACTGACCCAGAAGGTGACCTTTCCCCTCTGCGTGTAATGCCTAGACACTGCTCACACAACATACACATGTACCAACAGACACACCTCTCTACGGTCCCCTTGTCATCCTGCACCAGCTTCACCCACTGGAAATCCTGCCCTGACTTATGAGAGTCACCACTGTGGCTTGGCACTTATCACCCTGCTTCTTTGACTACCAACTTGGGAGAGTTTAAGTGGAATTAGTTTTTTATATTTCCTATATTCAGCACATGCTTAGTTCAATTAGTGTTTGTTGCAAAGTATGAAAGACTACGTCTTCTTATACTCAGAAAGTGTTCCTGGAGTCCCTTTGAAACTGGGACACTGGGTTCCACCGGAGCCACAGTCGGCAGGCTTGTCCTCCTTCATGGACGTAATCCCTGCTAGACACCCGGTATGTGCAGCACCAGTTCCCCACTCCTAAAACACAGCACACTGTGTGGGCCAGAACAGCTACTCAAGAAGCAGCCGCTTAGTGGGTGGGTGAATGGGCAATGAATGAAGGAGTAAAAGAAATGAGTGACTGCTTAGATTTATAACCCCAGCCAAGGAAGCTTATATTCTCAAGTGTGTTTTTACAATTCCCAACCAAATGACACATTCCCAAACAAGCTTTAGAGACCCAGCCATGCATCCATACCTAAACTGTCAGGGAAAGATAGGGACTAATTCCGTTAACAGAGTAGTCAACAATGAGAAAAGAGGGTCCTAGATACCCTTAAATCAGCATATGAGAGTGATATGTTGATCCAGTAACTGGATCGTATGTTCTACTTGTGTGCACAGAAGAAAGAACTGCTCACAGACAATCCGCTGACTCAGTAATGCCTGAGAATGGCATTATTCCCACACCGGGGGCATGAGAGGGATCAGGCTGTGAGAGCAAGAGGGGCACTGGGTCCCTTGCCCCGTGCACTGTCAGCAGATTAGAGGACTGTGTAGGGGTCAGCAATTGCTTATATTCTTAAAGGCCACTATCCTTTGGGGGGCTGAAAAAAATATAAATTAGGCAAACATTTATTCTTTTGTTCCCAAGGTTGACTGCTTTAATGCCCTCTGATACTTGAAAGCCAATGATGAGCTCAGTTAAATAAATAAGCCATTAGGCTTGGAACAGCAGCTTATAATAGGCACTTGAGAAAAACAAAACCCTATAAAGACGTGTACAGAATGCAGAGCAGGTAATGGTGGGGACCTTCCTGGACCCAGGACAATGGCAGAGTGACATCAACAACTCTACCAGTGCAGGCTTGTGCCCGACCAGTAGTAGACCACATCAGCCTCCCAAGAGGCAGAGCAACCAGCAAATCAGAGCTGTTCTTGGGTGGGCTGGGCTGGGCGGTGGGAATGGGATTCTGTGCACACAAAGGCACAGTGTGAGCTGCTCACATCCTCACGGGATGGTCTGCTGTTTGATTTGTATGACTAATCTTAACAGTCTCATATTACTCATTTAGGACAAGGTACCCAGAATGTGTACATACTCTGCCAGCGGTGGCAGTGATAGTGACAGTGACCTGGACTGTGGAGATAATGGTTTTGGAGCTGGAAGGGGACAGTTAGTGAAAGCACTGAAGAGCTCCACCCCAGGTAACACACGGGAGCATGTGGGACACGTGGGGCCCTCCGTGTGGGAAGCCCTGAGTGTGCCTTTCACTGTGCCCACCCCCCTCCCCCGGGTATCACAGTTCTGCTCAGTATCTCTCCCGAGATCTAATTTTCTGGTACATACAGAAGATCATCCATGCATATCAATTTGTTTTCTGCTATAATCTTCAGGCCTTACAGTGCAGTCTGTAAAGATTCCGTCCCCAAATCTTGTATCTCTGAAGCAGACTCCAGTTGAGTTATCTTAATAATAAAGAAATGACTATAAAGACAACTTTGTTCCCAATTACGTACTTGGCGAGTTAAATCATCCAGTGAGCCATGGATCGAGCCTTCCATACTCTTGCTAACAGGTCTGTCTGTGAGGTCCAAGCTTCCTCACTCTCTTTTCCTTTGAATCAGAATTGGCAGTAGAAAGACCATCAGCCCTAGGTATTTACAAATATGTTTATTCAGGTGGCACTTCCTTACAGATTCAAGAGGACAGACGGAGAGCTAATGAGAATTGTGATCTGTGCTCTGCTTTTCTTCCGATCCATTCTGGATTGTCAGAAGTATTTTAATGATGCAGTTGGAAAGTCAATCTTTTCCTACTAATCAACTTTATCTCAAATACTAACCTAGACATTACATGATGAAACCATGATTTTCTTTTTCCAAATAAGGCTGATATCAGGAGAAACATAATCTAGGAACCATGTGTGTTTCCAGTTTTCAGATAATCTTGGCATTGTAATATGCGGTGTGGGGGTAAGACTCACCTCTGAGAAAAGCCCATTAATCTGAACCCACCACTTCGTTCCTTGCTTCTTACAAGTCATCAGAGAAGCAAGACCCATGGTTGAGTCATGTAAAAGCTTGCCAAGAAAGTGGTGAATACCCCTGATATTTTAGTTGGATGGTGTCTCCCATTTCCTTGTTGGCTATCTGTGGTTCATCAGTGCCCCTCTGTCGTGCCAAGGGAAGGGGAGTTCACCGTCACAGGGCTTGCCTGGTGAAGACCCATAAGACCAGGCCAGCTCCTAGTCCACACTCTTCCCTTAATCTTATCACAGGTCCACAGGGAGTACCCTCACCTCACCAACCCTCAGCTGCCCATCCAAGAGGAATTTCCAAGTCCCCTTCCAGCTCTCAAACTCTCTCCATTTGTTATTGAACAAATATTTGTTGAAAGCTTCCTCTGGGAAGTTTTCTAGTGGTTAGCAGTTTCTAATGGACAGAGATCCCTGTCTGACAGTAAACAATATATAAAATAAACAAGTACATGTATTTAATTTGTTGAAAGGAGGCAAATACTATGGAGAAAACAGGTAGAGCAGAGTAAGGGAAAGTAGCAGTGCTGGGGTTGGGCAGGTTAAAGTCAAAGTGGAGTGGTCAGAAGGAGCCTGCCTGAGGAGGGGACTTTGGAATAGAGAGCTAAAGCCAGAGAAGGGGCGAGCCAGGAGGATGTGCAGGTAAGGTGCTCCCAGCAGAGGGAACAGCCAGTGTGGAAGTCCCAAGGCAGAGCTTGAGCAGAGTTCAGGGGCTGCCGGGGACAAGGGCCGCTGGGGACAGGGGCCTAGCACACCAGGGACCAGGTGGGGTCAGAACAGAAGGGCCGAGAGGTCTGATTCCTACTGTGAGAGCCATGCACAGGGACTTCAGAAGCCTCTGAGCTCAGGAGCACCATGACACACTGTAGCTTAGAAGCATCCCTCCTGCTGCCTCCTTATGAAAACTGAAGGAGCCAGAGCCACTAAAAGGCTGTTGAGGGCCCCAGACAAGAGGTAGTGGCTTGGAGCAGGTGGTGGCAGTGGACTTGCTAATAGACCTGCCACGTGGACAGAAGTGCTCTGTGTCTACACTGGCCACTGGCTGGTAATCACCGGAAACAAGAAGTGTAAGGAAGTGAGTTTTTAAATTTAAGTTTTACACTTGTTTTCCTAAGAGTTCTCACTTGGGCCATTTCTTTCTCTCTCTCTCTTTTTAATTTTATTTAAGTTTTAATTAATTTTAACTTAAATGTGAATAGTCACTTGGAGCTCATTGTACAAGCCAGGAAGCGAGAATGGCCTGATTACAGGTCTAACTAAAAATACAGCATGATTGACTGATGGACTGGAGGCAAAGTGAGAGATTGAGGATGACTCCAAGGTCTGAGTCCTAGAAGGGCTGGAGTTGCTGCCTACAGAAACGGGTAGTCCCTGGGGTCGTGGCAGCTCTGGGGCCATAAGCCTGCAGGTGAAGGTGGTGAGTAGGCAGTTGGCTGGGTGAATCTGGAGTCCACATAAACTTCATGAGTATGGTGACAATATTTGAAGCCAGGCAGGATTTGGGGGAGATGGAGTGCAGATCACAGAGGATTGTGTCTTGCTGTCTTCTCTGTCAGAGAGACGAGGAAGGCCCAGGAGGGAGACTGAGCAGGAGCAAGCTGTGCTGGGGCAGAGGCCCAGGGAGCAGAGTGTCTTAGAAGAAAGTACTTCAAGGAGAAAGCATGTGGTTCGGAGGCCACTTGTTACCAAGAAAAGGCAAGCAGTGTTCAGCTGGACCTGCTCGTCCCCCTGGCAGTGGGTGGAGGACAGAGGGAATAGGAAAGAAGGGGGAGGGATGGTTGACCAGCAGTTCGAAAACTCCTGAAACCGGAGACAAGATTCAGACAGATTCCGACTCCAAATGAGGGAGTGCTTCCTTTAGGATTCTCATTTGAGCATAGGCTTGTGCAAGGCCATCAAGAGTGAGCGTTCGCCTAGCACACTGGGATGTTGAGGCAGGTGGATCACCTGAGCTCAGGAGTTCGAGACAAGCCTGAGCAAGAGTGAGACACTGTCCCTACGGTGTCTATAGAAAAATTAGCTGGGCGTTGTGGCAGTGTCTATAGTCCCAGCTACTTAGGAGGCCCAGACAAAAGGATTGCTCAAACCCTGGAGTTTAAGGTTGCTGTGAGCTATGATGCCATGGGACTCTACTCAGGGTAACAGAGTGAGACTGTCTCAAAAAAAAAAAAAAAAGAGAGAGAGAGAGAAAGAGGGAGGAGGGAGGGAGGGAAGGAAGGAAGGAAGGATTGATTAAATGTTGGGTGTGGCTCAGGACCCAGATGAATGGTAAACTTGCTCCTTGAGGTGTTTTTTTTTTCCTCTCATCCCTCTGAGAAATAATGTATGTCCCAGCTTTAATTTTTTTCTCTCCATATTCACTTTGCTTATCCTATTCCTTCCAACCAGAACAAGTCCTTCTTGGGAAAGGAACAGGTTTCTTTCATTCTGTTGCTTTCTGGGCAAACTTGGGAGGAGGCACCGAGGTCCTGGGAGCCGCACAACCAGCAAGCTGGTCTCTCCACCAAGGCTCGCACACTCCTCCTTCAAAAGGGGACTCTCTGCCAGAAATCTGTCATGGGCACACCCTGATGTGCCAGCCTCTGGTTAGCCCTGGCTGGTGACTGACGGTGCTGCCAGGAAGGGAAAATCCTTGCAGACAGCTGGCGTGGCTGCGTGCTGGCTTCCAGCACATCCTAGGAAGGAGCTTGTGGGCAAAGGTGGAATAAAAAGAAAATAGAAACAAGAGAAAAACGATGAACGGGAAGACGTGCCTGGGGTGTTGAGGGAGATTTTACCCCCCTCAGAGTCACAGTGTTGGTTTGCATTCATCTGGTTCACAAGCCATATTCAATAATCTCTATTTAAGGTATACTTTGTAATGAGGATCTGCGTTATTTTCTGGAAAAATAGTACTTCTTGCACAAATTAAAATAAAAATGTGCCATGGCCTTGGCTTTGCATCTTCAGCCTCATGTTTTTTCCACTTCCTGTCTTAAACTTTGTGCATTGTTAAAATGCCTCCTGTGTCCTGAACACAGGGCGCTGGTAGGGGCTTCTGTGCCTTTGCTCACTTGGCCCCACCTCCCTGGGATGGGTTTCATGCTGACCCTTTTCTTCTCCAGCCTTTAACCTAACCCCTACTTACTCTTTAAGATTCAGTTCAGACTTTGCCTCCTACAGGAAGTCTTTCAGGAAGCTCCTTCATCAGCGATGCTAAAAACCCAGGTATTCCTCCTTGTCTGCTCTCCTGTGAGACTTTGTATTTGTGCCATTTGATGCTTGATACTGATTTCTTTGCATGTTCGACCCCCTTATTAGTCTCAAGGTTGCTTCTCATTCATGCTCTGAACCTAGCATGGAGCATGGCACATCATAGGTATTTAATAAATGTGCGTCAAATGAAGATGCAACTAACTCCCTGCACTGATTAAGGTCTTGGTCAGCCCCTTGTATACACATTTACTGTCTATCTGGGCCTTTCCTTGCCCAGAGAAAGAAAGACTCAGAGGAGCTACATACAGAGATAAATCCAATAAGGACATTTCTCCTTCTCTAAGGGCTGTGCTAGAGAAAGCAGTGAATCTTTCGTCTGGGTTTTCTTACAGATGTAGAATTTTAGCTTACTCTTCAATGATGAAACTTCGTGCAGGTCATTACAGGCTTGTCAGAATCCTCTTGTTTTGTTTTGCTTTGTTTAAATAGTTTGATGTCTCCTGGCTTGATTCTTTTACTCTCTGCCCCAATTTGGGGATTATTGCAAAAGAAAACCACTCTTGTTGACAAGTAAACATCATACTCCTGATGTTGCAAGAGAGAAACCAAGGTTGAGAACCTTTGTTCTTTCAGTTTTTGTCCTTTGACAATCTCAAGGTTGTCCTTTGACAAGTAGACTGGTTAGTAAATAAAGAGGATTGGGAGGGTGAAAGGGGGGGAACTCAACCTCTAAACAAGTTCATTCGGTTGGCTCAGCAATTCTTGTGTCCAAGCCAGTGGTAGAACCTTGGGTGTGGGGGCAGCTTAATGACAGCGCTGCCCCTAGGTGTTATAATCAACATATAAACATGAAATATTGCATCTGGGAGAGAAGATAATCGAGTACCTACCTCATGCCACCAGTTTTTTCTATGGCCTAAAAGGCCATACACAGCTGTTCAGAGTGAGGAACCAGAATTCCTAGATTTTTTTTGGTTTTTATAAAATTAAGT